CTAATAATACTACATCTTAATCCATTACGGGAATATTCTAAGAAATAAAATTAAATCTTAGTTTAGTTGCGAAAATTGTATGTATGTTTTGAACTTTTTTAGGTATGTCGTGACAGCGGGGTGGGGGGTGGGGGGATATTGTGACACTTCATGACAGGGGGAGATGGTCTAAAAAGGTCATTTTTAGCGTGACTTTAATTGCAAACGACCCCTTGGTTGTGTTATTAAAAATCATTTTGAGTTATTAATCTTTTTTTAAAAAAATAATAGTACGCTAATTCAAAATATGACTTTCATGTTGAATGAGTTAAATGTCATTTTAAAATAGGCCAACATAAAAATTCAATTCATGATTTTCTGCATTTATTATTTTTTAAAAATAAATATTAAAGACTTTTACTTATTAAATTCTAGATCCAAACCTTACTGGGTGTGCACACGTTATTAAAATATTTGGTGCATTAAACATGTGTGCCTTGACCTATTTAAATGGAGACAGGCCCGTTCTTAGGCATACGCTAACTACGCATCCGGGTAGGGCCCCGAACGTGAGGGGGGGCCCCCGTAGGGCCGCTTAACACCTCAGGGATATAGCAATGATGCACACACAAACAAATTATTGACAGCCGGGGGCAATCTCCTTCCGCAAAATAAGGAAATAAGTGCCACCAGAGCCATTCTTAGGCATATAGGCAAACTAGGCAACCGCATAGGGCCCCACTACCACCTGCATGTCCATATATTTCAGAAGTAGCCTACACATTTTCTCCAGTGGCGGAATTATCAATATGGTTAGTGGTTACACGCGAGCAAAGAGGAAATATTGATGAAGGCAGAATGGAGGTGCCGCAGTGGTGGGTGGTGTTTTCTCCTCGGCTCAAGGGGCTCCACCCCCGGATCCCCCTTCCGGGGCCCCCAACCTACGTTCCATGCTTAGGGCCCCCAAACTCCTAAGAACAGCTCTGATGGAGATTCACATTTGCTATGACGACGATGTCTCTAATAAATGAATGAATTTATAAATACAAATGCTTTTCTCGGGTTGCCATAGAAATGACAGGGGCTGTTGTGACTAGCGTAGACCCGCATGTTGTTCTAATCCAGTGGTTCTCAACAAACCTAATGCCACCACCCTTTGATACAGTTTCTTATGTTGAGGTGACACCCCCCCCCTCCCCGACCGTAAAATTGTCGTTGCTACTGCATAAATATTTTTTCGATGGCTTTATGTGACCCCTGTGCAAAGGGTGGTTTGACCCCCCCCCCCATTTATGGGGTTCATTACGGAACAGGTTGAGAACCGCTTTTGTAACCGGCGCGGAATAACGGCATGAAGAGGCCGTGCGCGGTCTGCTACAAAATATGCGGCTAAAAACTCTCCCTTTCAAGCCGTATTTTTGTGTTCATCAACCTTTTGATGATCAGTGAGCGTCATGGCGCCTGGCTTATCTAGGCTCGTCTAGGCTGACGGTGACATAGACTACTCAACGTAGGCGAACATTAACATAATATTACTCACTCAACGCTTGGGTAATGGTCAAGTTCTAACTGATGATTTTATGATTAATGAAACATTATTTTTAAATGATTTGCGACATAAAATGTGGCTTTTCAATATACAGTAGTTTATGGATGGGCAGGGGCAGTAAAGATAAGACTGATACACTGATAGGTAGGCGTGTTGGTGAAGTTCGTGCGGCTCGAGGTGAATATTAACATAATTTATACTTTGATCCATATTTTAAAAAAAGCTAGATCTATAAATAATTTTAACAAATGAAAATGAAAGCTTCTAGAGGCAACATTTTACAAATCAAAATGCAACATAATCACGGGACAGCAGGGGGCGGGCCACCTTATCAAATCAAGGAAAGATATTACTCGCACCAAACTCGACCCCCCCCCCCCCCCCCCCCCCCCCCCCCCTTTAGGAAATGTATTGAACATTTTAGGAAATGTATTGAACATTTTAGGAAATGTATTGAACATTTTAGGAAATGTATTGAACATTTTAGGAAATGTATTGAACATTTTAGGAAATGTATTGAACATTTTAGGAAATGTATTGAACATTTAAGGAAATGTATTGAACATTTAAGGAAATGTATTGAACATTTTAGGAAATGTATTGAACATTTTAGGAAATGTATTGAACATTTTCGGTAAGGTTGCCAGGTGACCACTAGTTGAGTGGACCGTCCGTTTTTGTTGTTTTTTGCACATTATGTTCACTTTTTTTTTTCACAAGATAGTGGACTTTTTTTTTTTTAATTCAAAAGCTTTATGATAAAATCGTACGTAATCTAAAGCTGTACAGTCTAGGAGAATACGGAAAAGGAGAATCGCGTTTTTTTGTTTTTTTTTCCATAAGTCAGAATGAGACAAAGATCGAATATTCATTGAACTCGATTTCTCCGGAAAAAAAAACGTATTAATCATACTGTAATACTCAATTGTTTCACAAGACATTTAATAAAAATATATACCATTATTTACATACTATTTTTCTTAACTCGCATTTACCTAGTATTTTTATAGTATACTTTTTTTCCGAGTTGGAAAAGTATGTTTTGGCACACTCGGTGACGTATCATCATTGGAGGTTCAATGAGTACGTGCCTCAATATGCACAGCGCGAACTTGTCGAACCAAGGTTTTCGTTGAAGCATTATAAACATAAAAGTTTATGTTTGTTGTTTTTATGTAAATACTATTTTGCTGTGTTCTAATCACAATGTAAGTATATAAATATATATATATATATATATATATATATATATATATATATATATATATATATATATATATATATATTTATATATATATATATATATATTTATATATATATATATAGATATATATATATATAATATATTATACTTTGTCCGCTATTTTTTGGAAGCAGATCTGGTAATCCTAATTTTAAGAGATTCATAATATAGGAAATAAGTATACAGATGCTTTTGTGGTATTATTTCGAACCCTCACAATGGTTGAGTCCTGGGGAAGAAATGGGAGTAACGCACCCAAGATCCACCCCCACCCACCCTCACCCCAGACGCGTAGCGAGTGGGGGGCAGGGGGGACAGATGTCCCCGGGCGCAAGCTATTTAGGGGCGCCAAAATGTGCTTTGATATTATATTATTGGTAAAAATAATGTGTTTGAGAATTGAAAAAAAGAAAAAGGGGCGCTTTAAAATGGATCTTGTACCCGAGCGCGAATCTTGTCCCCGGGCGCCAAACACCCTCGTTACGCCTCTGCCCCACCCCCACCACCACACACCTTTACCAAAATTAATACGTACGGTATTTATATACTAATAAAGAAAAGAAAGAAGTCTACGGGGAAATGCAATGGCAAGAAACGAGGTATGTTGAAGCCTGAATGAAAGGACAGGGGAGGGCAGTCCCCACCACTGGTTTCTGTAAGGACTCGATCCCTGGTTGATACGAAACGCAAACTCTGTAGTTTGATCTCAGTATGTCAGACTAAGTTCGATGTGACCCCCCCCCCAAAGCCCCCATTCCAACTTGATTGGGGCGCGATCGATTCGATGTGATCGATTGCTTGGTGACGTCGTGAAAGACAAGGGTAACGGGTACACCCCACACGAGAAATGCCACCGACTCATGGCACCATCAAACCTATTCAACGGGGCTGGAGGGTGTCGGTTGTATGATGACAATGTGGGACCAAGACTTTCATTGTCATTATTATGTCAGTATGTTAATTTATTTATTGATTTGGGGGGGGGGGGAGAGCAAGTAGATTGGTTCTGTGTTCATAGCATTGGTCGCGGGCAATGCTTTGATGACGTCATTGGTCCCGGGCCATGGTTTAATGACGTCATAGGTCGCGGCCATGGTTTGGTGACGTCGCTGGTCGAGGCCATGATTTGATGACGTCATTGGTCGCGGCCATGATTTGATGACGTCGTTGGTCGAGGCCATGGTTTGATGACGTCATTGGTCACGGCCATGATTTGATGACGTCATTGGTCGCGGCCATGGTTTGATGACGTCATTGGTCGCGGCCATGGTTTGATGACGATACCAACAATTGAAAGAATTACCGTAATCCTACTGAAAGTATTTTTTATTTTTAATGATACTATCGGGTCTGATTTAATTCGTCCTAGTCCAGTGGTCGGCAAACGTATTCTCATGGGCGGACTTCGAGTTTTCCTCTGCCCCCCCCCCGGTCCCACCCCCACTCCTGAAAAACAGCGATGTTCCTGGCATATGTGCTATCCCTGAGTTTAGCACCAGCCGAACCTGCGAATAGCACCACTTCTGTTTTGGTCCTAAGGGTTTTAATTATTTCTGGATTTCACTGCCTAATGAAAAAATCCGGTGCACTATCGAGGTCAAAGTTCATCACCCACCAATGAAAACAAACCCTACACAAACTAAGCCCCCAGACTGGGGGTAACTAAGATCTTTGATATGATTTGATTGATACACAAACTCACCCCCCACCCCAGACTGAGGGTAACTAAGATCTTTCATTTGATTTGTCTAAGGAGGTGTGTTGGTGTAAAGGAAGGGGGACGGCCAGGGTGGACGGAGTCCTCTTTTAAAAAAAAAACAAAAAAAAAACCACTACATCTGTTTTTCTTTTAATCTAAGACTTCAACTACAAATCAGACAACCGTATTAAAAAATAATATATTATAATTATATTTTATAAAAATATCACTACAACGTAGTTGCTGTGGGTTGAACAGGCCGTGGGGAGGGGGGAGGAGGAGGGGAGGTGACGTGGACTAAATGAGCCGGCTGAGGTTGGGAACACTAGACCATCTTTGTGCGCCACACATGATAACTTTGCCGAAATCTTGTGTTTACCACGTCACTCAGACCTGCTGGCGTCACACCGCCCGGGGGCCGGAGATGATCACCCCCCAGAGCTGTAGGTGTTCCTGTAGTGGTGGAATCCCCAACTAGGGCGCAGTGATTTATTGGCAGACCAAACGACAAGCGGATGTCAGTGGGGTCACAATAAACGACCAGCAGACGTGCATTTGATATGGCCAGGCCGCCGTATGGAACCGTCTCGTATGTGTTCACATGAATATGTGATATCTGCTGGCAGCAGGGATACGGAGATTTTGTGTGTGGTGTCTGGCAACAGTAAGATGGATATTTATCTGTGATTGCCTAGCAGAAGGGATATGGATATTTATCTGTGATTGCCTAGCAGAAGGGATATGGATATGTATCTGTGATTGCCTAGCAGAAGGGATATGGATATGTATCTGTGATTGCCTAGCAGAAGGGATATGGATATGTATATGTGATGTCGGCTAAAGTCGATTTTGTCGCACTGTGTTTATGAGTTGAGGTTTGTATTTCTTTATAATGCTCCGTGACGCCAATGCTCCGTGACGCCAATGCTCTAATACAGCGGTTCTCAACCATTGGGGGGTCGCGGGACCCTTTTCCAGGGGTCGCCTAAGACCATCTGAAAACACATATCCTTACGCCTATGACGTAGCAACGAAAATAATTGTGTGGCTGGGGGTCGCCACGACACGAGAAACTGTGTTAAAGGGTCGTGGCACTAAAAAGGTGGAGAACCACTGCTCTAATAACACACACACACAGTTACACGATTTAAAAAAAAACCGAGGAAAGAAGATAGTGTGTGTAAATTGAACTATTTAAAAATCACATCTCCCGAGGTTTTGATTCATGGAAAGCGCTTGTCAATAGATTTAGGTGGGCCCAATTTTTACATATTTTGGGGATTTTTTCTTTGTTCCTAGAACGTGATCTATGACGAAGGTCAACAAACATGGCGGTCACTTAAACCAAACAAACAAACAAGAACTTAAGTCAGGAATATTCAATCATATGTTCAATATTTGACCGCAGATTCAGGTTTTTCGTGTGACATATAAATTGTATAGTCTCAACGCAGCTCTCTTATTTACTCTCAAAGCAGCTCTCTTATTTACTCTCAAAGCAGCTCTCTTATTTACTCTCAAAGCAGCTCTCTTATTTACTCTCAAAGCAGCTCTCGTATTTACTCTCAAAGCAGCTCTCGTATTTACTCTCAAAGCAGCTCTCTTATTTACTCTCAAAGCAGCTCTCTTATTTACTCTCAAAGCAGCTCTCGTATTTACTCTCAAAGCAGCTCTCTTATTTACTCTCAAAGCAGCTCTCTTATTTACTCTCAAAGCAGCTCTCTTATTTACTCTCAAAGCAGCTCTCTTATTTACTCTCAAAGCAGCTCTCTTATTTACTCTCAAAGCAGCTCTCTTATTTACTCTCAAAGCAGCTCTCTTATTTACTCTCAAAGCAGCTTTCTTAATTCCTTTAAATGTGGCGTTCACTTTCCAAGCCACCATTTTGACCCACTTAACCTGTCAAACACCAGACACACACCCCCACCTACTTTTTAAATGACCAAAAAGAACTTCTGAGACGTGTTTAAATAACTTCACAGGTCAACATCACCGACACGGCAGGGACGCCAGGACTGAATGACGTCAACAGAACTTTAAAGCACGTGATGTCAGATAGTTTTGGGGGAGGATAATAAAAAAAAAAAATATTTAAAAAAAAGAACTAAGAAGACTTTTTACAACACGCTTACTCGCGCCATTCAAGGACCACAACCCTTTGGCGCACAACACACCAGGGGAATGAGCAGCTTCTACTACAAGGTTGTCCCTCCTCCAGACAAACCCACGCTGATTGGCTACAAGAAAGTCAACCACGGGGAGCTCCAGGGCATCGTTAGCAGGCTGGCGAGACCCAAATTGGCGTGGACAGTAAGTGGTCATTCCTGGTCAGTTTACCTACACAATTAACTCAGTCGCCAGGCAAAAATGCAACGTTTGTTATGTGGACAGGATTCTATAGGTCAGTGCTTTCATGGCGTCTAGAAGGGGGGGGGGCTTCGGCCCCCCGACCCCATGTTAGATAACTGACCCCTCTGATATATAACCGGCCACCTAGATATATATCTGACCAACTGATAGATATCCAACCTTCTGATAAATATCAGACTCCCCATATAGATATCCCATCCCTGATAGATATCCCAGCACCAGATAAACACCCAACCCCTACGCAGATATCATATCCCCTGATAGATAGTTCCTCCCCCAAAAGTATCCCATCCCCTGATGTATATCCCATCCCTTGATTGATATGTATCCAATCAACTGATAAGATATCCCACCCCCAGGTAGATATCTCATCCCCAGGTAGATATCTCATCCCCAGATAGATATCCCATCCCCAGATAGATATCCCATCCCCAGATAGATATCATATCCCCAGGTAGATATCTCATCCCCAGATAGATATCCCATCCCCAGATAGATATCCCATCCCCAGATAGATCTCCCATCCCCAGATAGATCTCCCATCCCCAGATAGATATCCCATCCCCACATAGATATCCCATGCCCAGATAGATATCTCATGCCGAGATAGATATCTCATCCCAAGATAGATATCACATCCCAAGAAAGATACTTCTTTAAAATCCAAATTATAGTTTCCAAACTTTCTAAAGTCCAATGTACACAATATCTAATGTTGAAAATGTTCATGTTAATTCATTACCGGGCATATTTCTGTTTGAGATGTTGAAATGTTATCTAAAGCTGATCTTTAGACAAGTTAAATATTCTTGTTTAAATGTAAGGCCCAGGTGAAAATGAGACTTGTCCTAAATTCCCGGTTGATCCCCACCCCCCCCCCTTGTAGGAGATAGTTGAGACCCAATGTCCAACAAACCCATATAGGAGATAGTTGAGACCCAATGTCAAACAAACCCATATAGGAGATAGTTGAGACCCAATGTCCAACAAACCCATATAGGAGATAGTTGAGACCCAATGTCCAACAAACCCATATAGGAGATAGTTGAGACCCAATGTCAAACAAACCCATATAGGAGATAGTTGAGACCCTATGTCAAACAAACCCATATAGGAGATACTTGAGACCCAATGTCAAACAAACCCATATAGGAGATAGTTGAGACCCAATGTCAAACAAACCCATATAGGAGATAGTTGAGACCCAATGTCCAACAAACCCATATAGGAGATACTTGAGACCCAATGTCAAACAAACCCATATAGGAGATACTTGAGACCCAATGTCAAACAAACCCTCAGAGACCAGGTTATATTTAGCCCCATTTGCTATACTCTCAATCCAATCACCAAGAAAGCACCGAACTGAGTCAATCCCAGGGAAGTCTGGGGGCATTTTCAGAAGACGGTGGGTGAGGGGGTGTAGTTGGAGAATCAGTCAAGCAACAACCGAGTCTGTCAAAAGTGCTAAGAAATCAATATCGACCGCAGACGTTAAAGCGTCACTTGTACATTAAAGTCAGGCGTCGGATTACGACAGAAATATCCCAGGGCTGAACACCGAGAGTTCGATTAGTTTATATTTACTTTGGGTTCGATGTGTCGAATTTCGACGTATGTGTCCAGTTGTGCCCAGATGTGTCTAGCTGATTAAATTAAACGAAGATTTTAATTAAATAATTATGCTTGTTTTGTTTTTTGTTTTTTTATTTGCTTTTTAATTTTTTTTATTAACAATACAGTTGTTCCCCGACTTACGAACCAATGTTAATATTTTACAGTGGTATTTTGACTTACGAACCAATGTTAATATTTTACAGTGGTACTTTGACTTACGAACCAATGTTAATATTTTACAGTGGTACTTTGACTTACGAACCAATGTTAATATTTTACAGTGGTACTTTGACTTATGAACCAATGTTAATATTTTACAGTGGTACTTTGACTTACGAACCAATGTTAATAGCCTAAAGTTGTACTTCGACTTACGAACCAACGCATACATTGGTACATACGAACTTTTTGACACACGAACTTCTTTCATATCCCATTTTCCTGCGGTGTTTGTGACTACTACGTGGCATTTATCTGGAATGCGACCGAAACGGGTGACAAAACATCTTAATCTTAAATCAATAATCTTACAGTTATCCAGTGCGAGAACAAATACAATAACATAATTGATGCATCCATAATATGCTAACAAGTAACTAAAAAAACAACAACAACACACAATGTTATCCATCTTCTCTCCCCTTTACACAGCCATACACACTTCATGGACCCGACGGCAAGCTATCATCAGCTGGCTGTGCCACGAACAGGCCAAACTCTGGGGGCACCCAGGTGAAGACCCCCCAGAAACTGACAGAGCAAGAGCTTCAGCGCCTCCTGCGGCGAATCCAGAGACCGACCATTTCCCATCAGATGTCCCGCCAAGGCAGCGACGTCGACAGCAGCAGACCTTCCACGGCTCCGCCTCACGGGTCGTCTGGAGAACGACTGAAGAGAATCATCCAGCAGCTCTCGCGCCCCACGACAGCCAGCCGAGCCAAGCGCAGCACCGAGTGCCACCTGTGCGACGAAGCCGGGCGAGAGCTAAACAGGAAACTAGTGCCTTTCGAGTACGCGTACGCCGATGAAAAAGTCGTGAGCGAGGACGAGGCCAGCGCCATAGTGAAGAGAGTGAGTTCCCCTACCAAAGCCAGCGAGCGAGGCGGTGGAAGTGCGTGCGTCAGGCTGCCGCCTGACTATGACGTGGTACACGCCCAATCGCCGAATCTCCCCCTTTTATCCGGGCTGACTCGCAGCAGGAGTGTCCATCACGTGGTCAACAGATTACATCATAACCGAAGCGTCTGTGGCTCGGCCCACCACCAGCGGCCACCTTCCGTACCAACCCAGGGACAGTAGCTTTCCCGGACCACCGCAACGACCTTATCGCGAATTGGTGGACAGCGGTCAAGCCGTGAGAAGGAATTAGTGGAACAAGACATGGAGCCGAAATGGCATTATACTCGTACTGTCCTTTCATTTCAATTTCAATCCTATACAATCATATTATATTTCTCCAACATTCCCTTCCATGTCTGAGTAGACAAATCGACACGAGCCGAGCACTCGTGTCATTAAACTTTCAAATGCATCTGATGTGTTGCTGCAATGACGCGTTTGGTGTGTAGATACACTGATGGGTCTGGTGTGTTAATACAATGATGGGCCTGGTGTGTTGATACAATGATGGGCCTGGTGTGTTGATACAATGATGGGCCTGGTGTGTTGATACAATGATGGGCCTGGTGTGTTGATACAATGATGGGCCTGGTGTGTTGATACAATGATGTGACTGATGTGTTGATACAATGATGGGACTGATGTGTTGATACAATGATGTGACTGATGTGTTGATACAATGATGTGACTGATATATTGATAAAATGATGTGTTGATAAAATGATGGGCCTGATGTATTGATAAAATGATGTGTTGATAAAATAATGTGTTGACACAATGATGGGACTGATGTATTGATAAAATGATGTGTTGATACAATGATGGGTCTGGTGTGTTGATACAATGATGTGACTGATGTGTTGATACAATGATGGGACTGATGTGTTGATACAATGATGTGACTGATGTGTTGATACAATGATGCGTCTGCTTTGACCACATTAACCAAATGCATATTCCGAGGACACTGGGTGATTTTTAATAACCGCATGCCGCAATAAAATGTATTGATACTAACAGATACTAGATGATAGAAGCCACGGGATAATACAAGATACTTGACGAGACATGATACTAACAGATACTAGATGATAGAAGCCATGGGATAATACAAGATACTTGACGAGACATGATACTAACAGATACTAGATGATAGAAGCCATGGGATAATACAAGATACTTGACGAGACATGATACTAACAGATACTAGATGATAGAAGCCATGGGATAATACAAGATACTTGACGAGACATGATACTAACAGATACTAGATGATAGAAGCCATGGGATAATACAAGATACTTGACGAGACATGATACTAACAGATACTAGATGATAGAAGCCATGGAATAATACAAGATACTTGACGAGACATGATACTAACAGATACTAGATGATAGAAGCCATGGGATAATACAAGATACTTGACGAGACATGATACTAACAGATACTAGATGATATAAGCCATGGGATAAAACAAGATACTTGACGAGACATGATACTAACAGATACTAGATGATAGAAGCCACGGGATAATACAAGATACTTGACGAGACATGATACTAACAGATACTAGATGATAGAAGCCATGGGATAATACAAGATACTTGACGAGACATGATACTAACAGATACTAGATGATAGAAGCCATGGGATAATACAAGATACTTGACGAGACATGATACTAACAGATACTAGATGATAGAAGCCACGGGATAATACAAGATACTTGACGAGACATGATACTAACAGATACTAGATGATAGAAGCCACGGGATAATACAAGATACTTGACGAGACATGATACTAACAGATACTAGATGATAGAAGCCATGGGATAATACAAGATACTTGACGAGACATGATACTAACAGATACTAGATGATAGAAGCCATGGGATAATACAAGATACTTGACGAGACATGATACTAACAGATACTAGATGATAGAAGCCACGGGATAATACAAGTTACTTGACGAGACATGATACTGGATGTTACAAGAGATCAATATAAATGGTTCTAGGAACGGGATTACACGGGATAATTGAAAAAACAATGTATTATACAATCTACTACTGGATAAATCAAGATTAATAATACAAGATACTGGATAATACAATATCCTTTATATGTAATACAAGATACTGGATACCGAATAATTATACCCCAAAAAATATTTTAAATAACCAAGTGACCTTTTTTGTATATTAAACACGATTTTGACCCAATTTTTGCTTTTTGTTGAGGCATTTTATCTTGAATTCACTGTTAACACAGATGTGAAGTGGGGGCTCGGCTGCTTTAACCCTATTACAAAGTGCACGTGCTTTCGCAGGGGAAATGATTGACATTATTATGATTATTATTATTATTAATATGGTTTTTTTTATAGCGCGGTACCCCAGCTCAGGGCCCCCGCATAATTTGAGTTTGAGACCCCTGATGTACAGACAGAAGTTCACTAAGATAGGAAGGGCAGGAACCAGAGAAAAAGTTGTGACATTCGATACATTAAAGGAGGGAATTAGAAATGGTTGACGTTGTGGGAGCATGACAATACAAGGGCGTTTTTTGTGTGTCTTCTTTCTGCCAATAAACTAGAGCAGCGGTTCTCAACCTGTGGGTCGCGACCACTTTGGGGGTCCCACGACCCTTTCACAGGGGTCGCCTAAGACCATCTGAAAACACATATTCTCCACAGTCATAAAGTATCAACGAAAATAGTTTTGTGGTAGGGGGTCGCCACAACATGGGGAACTGTATTAAGGGGTCGTGACATTTGAAAGGTTGAGAACCACTGAACTAGAGTAACTGAATTAATTTTATGAATACAAATGATAACGGTAGTTCATTCTAAGAAAAGTCTTTTTTTTTCTTTCCATAATCATTGACATGTCTTTACTTGTAGCCTACATTTCCACAAATAATGGAGGCCCCCCCACCCCACCTTTTAATTTGTATATCACCAGGGGCGTGTCCGGCAGTCAAAGAACTTTTAAAGTAGGTGCCGACAGTTTGGGGTGGTGTCATATCATGAACATAAGTGAAAACGCTATTTAGAATGATTTTTGTTATCATTTTTTTTTAATTTCTTCACAATATGTACATGTGCCCTCTTCTTTTTACACCATGCCAAAATTCAGGGGAATAAAGTATATCAGAGCCCCCCCAACCTTGTGTCCCCCCCCCCACCCAAGAGGCGTCACACAGGTTGCGAGCAACATTATTTTATACACAAAAAAAAGGTTATCGGAAATTTAATCGAAAGAAATTTTGTCGACGGAAAATTGATCGAAAATTTTTATTACGAACGCACTAAACATAGACTATAATGAAACCAAAGAATGCTTTCAACAAGAAATTTAAAGCAAAATTTTTACGTGAGAGCTGAAAAAAGGATTCGACCAAATTTCCATTCGATCAAATTTCCGTCAATCAATTTTTCCGTCGACTAAATCTCTCTCCATCAAATTTCCGAATACGCAGACAAAAACGTGTCCGTGGCCTGTGGTAGAGGGCACGCCTCTGGCTTAGAGTAGTTTCCCACTTCACGTGGTTTCCTTCAGATGATACTCAAGATGACGTCTCACGTGAATAATTTTGTTGAAGCAGTTGCCAGCCGACAAGACGGAACTTGAGTCATCGTAAGGGTCACCGTGACCTTGACCCACAATAACGGATGGGAGACATTAACAAAAAAAAACAAACAACAACAACAAAAAACTCCCCGTCTTGTGTAACTACAGAAAGCATCTTAAGCATGTTCACCGTATAACTATGACCAGGGAGCGTCTACATCCCCCCACCCCTGCGTGGTGGAGGTCAAACCATTTAACCTTCCCACCCCCCTCCCCCGACCTTGGACTTGGTAAATTTTGTCCAGCGGGTCACGTCAGTCAGGGTGTTGGTGTTTGCTTAGAATTAATTCTGGGGTTTCACTGTTAATGTTAAGGATACAAACCGAACTTTTAGCACAACGTGGACTGTCCGATAATAATATTAATAACATTAATAACAAAACTATTTCATCATTTTTTTTAACCAAAATTAAATGATCAAATCCTGCGTGATTGTGCAAAACATGAATTTGAGTAGACCTCTAACTCTAATGTTTTATGGCTCGTGGCCGTGCCCCCCCCCCTCCCAAAAAAAAACAAAAACAAACAAACAAAAAAACACACACACACAATTTAATACGTGGAGAAAATGGGAGAAAAAGGGTGGGGGGCTATTCCCCTCACCCCCACCTCACTCTAATTAAAGCAATTGCTCACCTCCCACCTGTGTATACGCCCCTGATTATGACACTCATACACCTGGCACACTGAGATTTGTTTTCTCTAAATAAGACAAACAGATTTTTTTAATGCCTGTGTGTGTAAAAAGGGGTGTGCAATGGAAAGCAAGTCAAGTTTTGGTGTTTGTATTTCGTTTACTGTGTTTGTCTCGACCCTTGGACCTGCTTCCATAAATTAAAAGATAATTAAATATTTTAAATTTAAAAACGACAAGAATACTATTGTTTCAGCTGGCAATTGCAAACAAAATAAACGTGTGTTTGAAACTTTAGATTGATTAAACAACAAGGTCCTTGAGACATTACAAAAACATCCACAACAGACAATTTCCGTAGAACGTGAGACTTATTAACTAAAGAAAATGTGTTGCTTTTATGAAAACACACTGGAAGTACTCATTAGAAGCATCCATTATATAGGCCTACTATATTTTAAATGACAAACCTAGTTTAGAAGTCAACATAATTGATTCTGTATCGTGGCTGCTGCCCAAAAGATACACGGAACTTGAAGAAAAAATATCCATGTCTATACATTTTATTTTCTATAACTCTACATTTTAAAATCGAGTGGTCCCACTGATGCAACCCCCCCCCCCGACCCGCCCCACAATCGGGCGTGATGTCAGATGTCCGAGCGAATGACCGGGTGTCCGATAGAGGAACGCCCCCTGACATGGCGGAGGTGTGGGAAATAAAGGAAAGGGGCGAAGAAAGGGCAGTAAACACCATCTTCTTACAGGTTTTAGAAAGACTTTAAAAAGGCTTGGAGCCTGAGAGACAAACAAAGGCAGCTACCCAAAAGGCTGTTAGAGCCCCCCCCTTTCCAGTCATGTGTGTAAAGCTTATATCCCTTTCATGGGCAAAAATTTGTTTCAATACTACATTTCAAACAGAATTTCGCTGGGGGAGGGGGAGAGAGGGTTTATAAATAGGTTGCACCTATAGGTACCCGGGTACATATAGCCACAAAGGCTATTCGGACCCAGAGTGGCTCCAAATAGATTAAATGGCTTCGGAGCCGGGTGTGATAACAATAATAGTATGAGAATTTTTTTTTTTAAGTGTTTATACTCCTTATTTCATAGATTCATAGTTTTATTCTTTTTGGTTGTGTTTTTTTTTCTTATTTCAGGTAGTTGCTTTTTCTTTCTAATTTTATTTTTTTTGTTTAAGCCACTTTCGTAGATCAATTTAAAAAAATTTTTTTTTTAATATAGTAATCAAGATGATTTAGATACATTTATTGTTTTCATTTGAATTTTAGAAAAGTAATAATATTAATTTAATTATTAATGGACCACGTTATAGAATTTCACCAACAACAGAGAGCGACCAATGTCCAAGTCCCTCATTATAATTTTTTTTTTTTTTAAAGTGCCCTGGGCGAATGCACCCCCTGATATTGAGGTCCTTTGCGAGTACCACCTTTACATGGCTGTGCATGGATCCAGTGGGCTAGAAAGAAATATCAGACAAAGAAGAAAGATGTATAAAATAAAAATAAAAAAATATTTAAATCTAAATATATCCTATTGGGCAACTTTTATAACGTATCTTTGAAGACAGAAGAGGTCTCCTTGTTTTCCCAAAATGGCGTCGTAAATGACAAAAGAATCATGAAATGTACATTTTAAAAAAAATCTTGTACTATTTTGTTAAATGGTTGATATATTCGAACAAAAAGACGCAATTTTAAGCCTTTAGTTCCATCAGGTAAAGAGGAAGTTTTAATTTTATATCACTAGAAATAATATTCGCGCTTAAATTTCATTGCCTTAATTATTTAACTCTTTCTCTTTAGTCTTTAGGGACCTCGGTATGATCATGACCCGGGAAGTGCCGAAAACCGGGTATCGTGAT